ATATTTTAGTTAAAAAGTTAAAAAAAATTATTAAAATAGATTGTCCCAAACGAGACCTGAGTTTATAAGATAAAAAAAACAAATTGAATGGATTAACTTACAAAAAAAATAATTTTTATAAGTATTGTGGGGGTGATTGCCTCTACCTAAAACACATAATTTGAGAGTAACAATTACGCTAGACATCGGATTAAAGTTAAAATAAAAGATTAAAATATATTAAAAAAATAAGAAGATAAAATGAAGCCAATGTCAAAATTGTTGAGAAAGGGATGGGAAAAGAAGATGATGGGTCATACAATCTTAGATTACAATGAAGTGGATGGAAGAATTATTGGTCAACCTTGGGACTTAAGCTTAAAAAAAAGGCTCTTGCCTACAGTTCACCATTTGGACTGAAGGGTTCAGTTTGGCCTGTTGAGTTTATTTTTTTATTTTATTTTTTTTATAATTTGTTGTTCATATTTTAAAATTTATTGAGTATATTATTCTTATAAAAAAAATTACGTTAATAGGATAACAGATACTATGTATTCGATCATTTTTTTATAAATCAATAATTTTTTGACCGTCTATTTTTTTTAGACAGAAGTGATCCGAATACATAATATTCATTATTCGATCAACGTAATTTTTTACAGAAATAATGCACTCAACAAATCTTGAAATATGAATGGTTCTAATTATCAAAAAGAGATTCAAAAGTGAACTCAATGAACCAAACTGAATCGAATTGTCTCAAATCTTAGACTAGAGACCGTCCAGGAGGAGATGGGAAATTGAGGTATGTTGTCTAGATCAAAGCTATAGAGAACAGAATGAAAAGCAATGGAAGCATCACAAAGTGGTGGATAGAAAGCTTGACAACGATCTTATTCAAATACGTTTTTGATATTTTACTTAGGGTTTAGGAGTCAAAGTAGATGGCACATCATTTCCATGTGTCTAAAAATCTTGGAACTATTAAGGTCACCAACCATCTATGCCCTATACAACAATCTTAGGATTTAAAAAATAAATAAAAAATAAAAATCAAGTTTGTTTTTTCCAAACAATTCCTTAATGGTCAACCACAACAAGACCAAATAAATCAATAAAACCCTCTAGTCTTTTAGTTATCTTTCTGTCTTGGGGGTTGGTTTGATAATTACTTTTTTTAATAGTATTTTTTTTTTATTGTTTTAGAAAAAAAATTATTGCTAAAAAATTTGATGCATTTGATAAATGTTAAAAAAGTTAAATTGAGTGAGCCTTTTATAAAAATTAACCTTTTTATCAATCCTTTTTTAACTGAAAACAAATTGCTTTAAAAATTTAAATTTAATGCATTTAATAAATGTTAAAAAAGTTAAGTTGAGTGGGCCTTCTATAAAAATTGACTTTAGAATTTAAAAGAACGCTTTTGTGTTTTTTTGGGTGGGGGTGGAGATGAATTGAAACAAAATTGCTAAAACCATCATAGGAAGAAATTTGACAAGAAATTAATCACCAGAAGTTTAACACATGTATATTGGAGTCAAGACTGGGAAAAAGAAATCGTGACGATAAGAAGGAAAATTGTTGGATATTTTCAGAGTATCACGTATTCATATTCTTTCATTAATCAGTATTTATCATGCCTTTTATATTTTTCAATCACCCAATACAAAATTATAAGTCTCATATTTTTCACCAATCATAATACTCTGAAATATCACGTAAGAGTACCCGATAACTTTCCAGATAACAAATAAACCAAATCTTACTTTTCAAAATAGGAAAATGCTATAGATTTCAACATTTTTACCAAATGTTTGACCAAATATGTCATGTGGGTGTGGGTTCTATATGTGTGTAGCCCTGACATCTATATGAGATATTTGATCATTTATTTAGTGAAAATATTGATATTCCTAGCATTACTCTTTAAAATGGGAGCAGCTTGTCTTCAATCCACAAAATGGACTGAATTTGTTAGGTTCATGGGACCCACCACGGGTTCTATTTCGATAACCCGAATCGTTCAATGTGTAGAGCTCGTCGAATATTTTATTCCTTAAAAAATCACATTAATCGGATATGAATAGCTATTTGATTGGATCAGATTTTTGTCACCAATTTATTTTGAAAATTATATTTACTGTTGACAGAAATCTGATCCAATCAAGTAGCTATCAATATGTGATTAACGTGATTTTTTACAGAATTAAAATACTCGATGAGTTCTACACGTTACGGCTCAAATTATTGAAACAGAACTTATGGTGGACTCTATGAACTCAACAATATACTCCAATCCGATCACAAACTGGAGAGAAACCTAACCCCTTCAAAATAATGCCTTATTGGTAATCCTAATTATCTTTATATATATTGAGTTTTAACCCGGTGATCCAAACCAACTCTACAAGTCTTAATTTTAATTAGGACAAATTATACTTTATACTTATAGTTTATGTATTTTGCCCGTTATATCAACTTAGCCCCTATACTTTTAATTGCAACATTATTTCTCAACTATAGATTTTGTTTCTAATCATCCAATTTAGCCACAAAAATAAATAAATAAATAATTGCATGTGTAAGAAAGTCCCCCCACCGACAATGGTTGTGCACCCAATTTGGCAAGTTCATTCGCATCAATAATCCGTAGTGAAACTATTTATATCTATTATGCCCTTAGCACCATTTATTTTCAGACTTAGGTTGAATGAGTTTATCAGTGTAGAAATTGTTAGTGAAAGAATTAAAACAAACAGAAATGACAGAGACTCATTTTTTTCTTGACCCCCACAACTCCTATAGACACATGTTAGTGAGTGATAGGAAAAAAAAAAAACAAAAAACAAAAAGCAAAGAGCAAAAAATTGGCCAATCCCAATACATTGAAAGTGGTGGGGGTCAAGGAAAAGAGGAGTCTCAACCTTTTTCTAAAAAAAAAAAATTATGTTTATTTATGATATATTTCAATAAGGGGATTAATTATATGAAATATCATAAATACCTTTTAGTGTTTTTGATATATTTTAATATTAAAAATTATATTTTATAAATATTTTTTTGGTACTATATTATTTTAATATTTATATATATATATATAATGACGTAAGACTTAAGAAAAAAACACACACACAAACACATATAACATGAGTAAAATAGTTTTTTTCCAAATTAATCTCCTTACTAGTTTTGAAACTTAATTCTTTGAGGTCTTTGCTAATCTCCTCTTCCAAAGCCTATCATAGTCTTAAGGGACTATGAATTCCCTTCCTAATTTCACAAACAAATATCATTTTAATAGATCCCACATCTATCATAATCCAATCACATTCTTTATAATCCAAAACAAACATGGCCTTAGGGTTATCCCAAAAGTCCCCTGCCGACAATGGTTGTCCCTTAAATTGTTTGTCCACAATCACAATTTAAGAAGAAAAAGATCAGCAAGCAAAATACCACCCCATCTCACATGGAAAGTTTGTATAAATCATCTTGAACATATAAAATATTCTTATTTTGTTACTAAATAACTTAAGTTTAAATTTTTGGGTTATATTGGTAGATCTATAAATTATTTGGATCTCCAAATAGTGGGGTTTTACAAAAAGAAAAATGTTATGAATCTCAAATAATTTATTAAATTTTTTTACAAACTCACATGTATGTAGGTTCTACACCCATGTAAGAGGTTTGATAGAAAATTTGATATATTATTTAAGCTTTCTAGCATAACTCTTACAAAAATATAAAAAATACTATATATATAAAAAAAAGATTAATGTAACCACAGATTAATTTGATTTGTCAAAATTCTTACATCTCACTAGTCTAAGTTTGGATTAACATTTTTTTCTTTTTCTTTTTTTAAGAATGTATTTCACATCTCGTAACTATCACATTCAACAATTGTCAAACATTTTTTTTCATTTATCAAATCGCTCATCAAACCATCTAAAACGCCTACAAACCATTAATATATTTATACAAGTAATTATAGTCTTAGTTTAAATGAAGTTTGGCCACAATCAGAGTTCAAGAAGGAAAAGATTAGCAAGAAAAGAATAAGGATTCTGGAATGGTTTTTGATGATTGTGATTTTAACTGCTCAACGGTTTGGGAAAAGGTGTTGAGCTGTCTGTGATAGGTGAGAAGTCCCTCCGTCTTTACGGTCTAAGATGTAGGCAAAGTTCACGCACCACACTTGACAAATGACAGGAGTTTGTACCTTTAATTAACAATAAATGACAAGAGTTTGTACCATTAATTAACAATAATTTCTTTGACTAGTGAAAAATGAACTGTGATTTTAACCTGTGTGTGGGCATGACCCTGTGGAATCCCAATATTGATGTCCTTTGAACATCCATTTCATTGATAATCAATATGGTGGTGTATGCTACAAAAGTTTAACCAACCAAACACAATTTCAATTTGAATAGTTTGATTCGTTTCACCATCTTAGTTTTAGTTCTATTTTGTGCATAATTATTTTGTAAAACAAAGAATAGCGCATATACAAATTCAAAATTTATTCACTTTTTTAGTAAAAACATCAACTTATTTGACGTAACTGTTGTAAGATGAAAATAGAAAGTTAGAAACTAAAAACACACTTTCCTCTACTTTTGAATGAGTAATTTTTTCAAATTATTTAAGTTATTTTAGTCTCATAAATATGCACAAAATGAACCAAACATTTTGACATATATTTTCAAAATTAAAAAAAAAAACAAACAAACAAACAAATTATAAACAACTTCACCAAACAAGGCTAGAGTTGAAATGGAGCCTTCTAATTTTGGAACAAGGAAAAAATTAATAAAAAAAACTACAACAAAACACCTATCAAGATGAACAACAATGGACATGTTGACAATGTTTTTCCCAAGTTTTTTTTTACAAAAACATTAATAAAATAATTATTAATATAGTGGATAATTACTGCACTATTAACAACCCAAAAGCCCAAAACATTGGTAAACAAGAAAAATCACCCATGGATGGTCCACTTAACACAAACGTTGCAGCACCAGAGGATCTATCAAAGCTATGATTAAAATTGGAGGAGTTGATATTTCGTACAAAAATTTTGCCAAGATGATAATTTTGGCAATATTTGCACAAAGTGACTGACTGCTCTCATATTCGAGCCAAGTGTGTTCTTTCACACTCGTTAAGCCAATCTTTTATCGATAATCATCCATCCTCATATTATGCAACTTTCAATACCATGAAAGCTACTCAAACTAACAAACAACATGAATTTTCATCTTCAAACTCGAATTGCCTCTACATATAAACTCACAAAAATTATTTTACTTGAATTTTTGCGCCAAAAATGATGTTCTTGAAAAAAAAATGGAGGGACAAAATTCAAGAGTTCAATGTTCCAACATACAAGTAGAGTGACAGAGATTTCTTAAGGCTTCAGGCACAGCTTGACCACATTTTTCAAGGATTTCAATCAGCGGTCCTGCAAGCATTGCATCTTCTGCAGTTAACAAGCTGTGCAATGCACCACTGACAGTGTAGCGGGCCATCCTTGTCAGCATCTGGACGTAGTTGTCAATTGAGTGTGCAAAATCAGAAACAATTACAACTTCAAACTCCCCTAAATCACTTGTATTAACGTGTACCAGGTCGACTACAAAGACTACAGGTCCACTTTTGCTGTCAAATATTGGAGAACACAAATGATAGACAATTTCAGTTTATCATCGGGGCAAAAAAAGAAGAAAAATATTATAGCAATGAGCAGCAGACAAGAAAAATATAGAAAGACTAGGAAATTCGGCACAAAAATGAATTTTTTTATTGGAAATGTTTTCATTTACCAAGAAAACTATTTAAATCAATAAGCAGAGAAAGCATTACTTCAACCACAATTCACGTAATTTCAATACTTTGGTCAAAAAGATAAAAAAACATTTCAAGGTAAAACTGCTTGATGTAGAACTGAAATAATTTTGAAATGTGACCAATCACCACAACACTCGTGGAGTGTGAGAGGGAGAGAGAGTGCCTATTGTAAAAATACCATCAAAAGGAGTGCCTCCCGAGCCTACATACATGTATATGTCTTTTTTTTTTTCAAATACATATTATTTTTAAAACAACCTAATTTGATACATTATTTAACCAACATGAACAATCCTACATCATTGGGAAAGTAATGTTGTGTTTGGATCTTGAATTCGTGTAGGAATTTGTAAAAATAAAAAAACAAAAAAAGAGAGGAAGAAGAAGAAATTCACTTTTCGTTTCCTTTTACCTTCCCCTCCACAAATTCATGATCCAAACACGACCTAAAGTTCAAAGAATCCACTGTGCTATAAAAGTTTGCCCAACTTGTGCAATCCCACTTCAAGAATAAAAGGAAATAGTGCAGCCTTTTCATTCTAGTTAAAGGCTCACACAGTCGCACCAACTTCTGTCTCGGTCACAAAGTTGTGTCATAAAAGCTTTATGTGGTCATGATTAGGCCATGTTGGCACTGGAATCATGTGTAATTCTCATGAATCAACATTAAGGGGTTGTTTGGGATGCTCTAAATAAGTGCACTTTTGACTTTTTATAAAATATGGGTTGGGTTTGAAGTGATGTGGTAAAGAGATGATGTAACTTAAATAAGATAATGTGACTTAAATAGGATAGTGACTTTTTTACTTTTTTAGGGGATGCCAAACCTAGCCTAAATGTAGCACGTGGCACAAAATTTGGTCAATCAAAATAGGATTCACGTAGAGTGCCCTAGTTTGACCACTCAAACCTGCAAACTTGGCCTGTATTGTTGCAAAATTTGTGGATCTGTGCTCCAACTACCTAGTTACACAAATTAGGTGACTTACGACGAGAGGATGAGGAGAAACAATGATTTGATGTTTAGGTTCACGTGAAAGAGTTAAAGCAACCTCTAGGGAATATCTAGGCTACCAAGTGTAAAGAGTAAATCAAACAAGAACCATTGGTTGAGACTTCAGACTCATAACATGTCTAAGCTGTAGAACAGGCCTCTGTACAAAAATTTATAGGAAATACAGGCAAAGAAGTTGGAAAATGTTACCTGTTCTCAATTTCTGAATTACTAATATAACCCGAGTTTATTGAGACAAAGTAACCTTTCGACTTGATGGCAGTAACTAACTCTTGAATATTACTATCCTTCCCAACTATAAATAGCACCTTAGAAAGCTGCATACGAAGTTGATCACCACAAGCTTGATCCAAGACTTTAATGCCCTGCAAAAATCATGAACTGTTCAGGAAATGGTGTAGCTTTCTTGACTAAAATTGTGACATCCCATCCCACATCGGCTTTATAGGAAAAGTTCATGGGCTGCATATGCAAGTTCACATCCCTTCCTAGGAGCCCAAAGTAGAGAATATTGTTAAGGGTCGAGAAGGGGACGTTATAATTTGATATCAAAGTTGACTTGTGCACACAATCATGTGAGTCATTGATCTCGGTTGACCATGAGCTCATCGTAGTATTCTTATGGGTTATGGACCTCTCGCGAGGATGCGAGGTTATAAAGAAGGGGAGTTTGTAACGACCCCATCCCAAATCAGAAGTGCAAGGTTATAAAAAGGGGGAGTTTGTAACGACCCCATCTCGCGGGGTTGCGAGGTTATAAAGAAGGGGAGTTTGTAACAACCCAATCCCACATTGGAAGTGCGAGGTTATAAAGAGGGGGAGTTTGTAACAACCCCATTCCACATTAAAAGTTTGCATGGGCAATCTTGGGTACATAGATCCATTGTTTCAGGTTATACTTGGTCCAGTAGGCGGTGGGGCATTACAAAAAGGAAGGGAGAGGTGGGCAAAGTGTAGCTTGTTAGAAAGATCTAGTTACAGCATTATCATAACATTTGAGAAAAGTCTGCATTTAAATTAACAGATGAATGCATCCATTGGATTTCTTAAGCTTACATACCTTCGATAATTTTTCTTCTTCTGAGGTGCACATATGTATAGATTGGATGATGCATGCACCTTGACTGGTAATAGAGTCATTAAACGATAATCTGCTGATTGACTTCCCAAGAAGGTTTTGCACCACAAGATGGGATGCATAGCTCAAGCTATCATTGAAAACCACAGTGTGGGGACTCACAGAGATTGATTGCCTAATGGATTTAATCATGTCAAGGTAACCATCTTGTAGAATTGTTTCCAGTCCATCAACAACCTGTGAAAGTGCCAAAAACAAACAGATCAGAAAGAGGATAATGCAACTTATATAGCAACTTAGCAATTCAATGAAAAAGAAGGCATTCTATATTTTCAATTGACGAAACAAATATTGCCAACCAAAAAGCTCTTTACTGGGCGTGTGTTCTTACTCAAGGAGCAATCATTCAACAAGGCTTAAAAGATACATTGCAGCAAATGTTTCGGGTTTAAAGCAAACCTCAAAAATATAGCAGCATATCCAAAAAGCTATGGTAGTCAAGCAATATCAGAAAACAACTCCAAAGTGCAATCTACTGCATTTATTGGAACAGCGCCCTCTCCGGCTCACCTTTTGATGGCTCGACGCTTTCTGTCGGGCACGACTTTTGATGAAGTGGGCGCGCCTTTTGAGGGCGCAACTTTTGACAGCACGCCTTTTGATGGCACGCCTTTTGAAAGATTTGGCACACCTTTTGAGGGCGCGACTTTTGAGGGCTCACTATATATATCCATATATATATATATTTGGGCAGCCTATATACACCATCATACAGTGTATTTTTTAAGGGTCCGACAAGACTCTATAAACTGTCCCGACATTGATTCCGGTTAGCTCCTTCATGGGTCCGACAAGACTCTGTAAACTGTCCCGACATTGATTCCGGTTAGTTTCTACAAGGGTCCAGCAAGACTCCGTAAACTGTCACCACAACTGTCACAACATTGTCTGCTACAACGGTCCGACATGACCCCATAAACTGTCTTCTACATCGGTCTGACACCACCATTGGTTCTGCCCAAGTCCGGCCCGAATTGTAATTCGGGCATCAAAAATCTGCCCAAGCCTGTCCAGATTACAAGATATAGTTGCCCAAGCCCTAAAAAAACTCGGGCTGGGCTCGGGTTGCTCGGGTTGAGCCCGCCCGAGTTGCACCCCTAACTTCAACCACAATTAACGTAATTTCAATGCTTTGGTCAAAAAAATAAAAAAACATTTCAAGGTAAAACTGCTTGATGTAGAACTCAAATAATTTTGAAATGTGACCAATCACCACAACACTCATGGAGTGTGAGAGGGAGAGAGAGTGCCTATTGTAAAAATACCATCAAAAGGAGTGCCTCCCGAGCCTACATACAAGTATATGTTTTTTTTATTTAAAAATACATATTATGTTTAAAACAACCTAATTTGATACATTATTTATCCAACATGAGCAATCCTACATCATTGGGAAAGTAATGTCATGTTTGGATCTTGAATTCGTGTAGGAATTTGTAAAAATAAAAATAAAAAAAAAATACAAAAAGAGAGAGGAAGAGGAAGAGGAAGAAATTCACTTTTCCTTTCCCTTTACCTTCCCCTCCACAAATTCATGATCCAAACACAACCTAAAGTTCAAAGAATCCACTGTGCTATAAAAATTTGCCCAACTTGTGCAATCCCACTTCAAGAAAAAAAGGAAATAGTGGCCTTTTGATTCTATTTAAAGGCTCACACAGTCGCACCAACTTCTGTCTCGGTCACAAAGTGGTGTCATAAAAGCTTTATGTGGTTATGATTAGGCCATGTTGGCACTGGAATCATGTGTAATTCTCATGAATCAACGTTAAATGTAGCACGTGGCACAAAATTTGGTCAATCAAAATAGGATTCACGTAGAGTGCCCTAGTTTGACCACTCAAATGCAAACTTGGCCTGTACTGTTGCAAAATTTGTGGATCTGTGCTCCAACTACCTAGTTACACAAATTAGGTGACTTTCGACGAGAGGATGAGGAGAAACAATGATTTGATGTTTAGGTTCACGTGAAAGACTTAAAGCAACCTTTAGGGAATATCTAGGCTACCAAGTGTAAAGAGTAAATCAAACAAGAACCATTGGTTGAGACTTCAGACACATAACATGTCTAAGCTATAGAACAGGCCTCTGTACAAAAATTCATAGGAAATACAGGCAAAGAAGTTGGAAAATGTTACCTGTTCTCAATTTCGGAATTACTAGTATAACCCGAGTTTATTGAGAAAAAGTAACCTTTCGACTTGATGGCAGTAACTAACTCCTGAATGTTACTATCCTTCCCAACTATAAATAGCACCTTAGAAAGCTGCATACGAAGTTGATCACGACAAGCTTGATCCAAGACTTTAATGCCCTGCAAAAATGAACTGTTCAGGAAATGGTGTAGCTTTCTTGACTACAATTGTGACATCCCGTCCCACATCGGCTTTATAGGAAAAGTTCATGGGCTACATATGCACGTTCACATCCCTTCCTAGGAGCCCAAAGTAGAGAATATTGTTAAGGGTCGAGAAGGGGACATTATAATTTGATATCAAAGTTGACTTGTGCACACAATCATGTGAGTCATTGATCTCGGTTGACCATGAGCTCATCGTAGTATTCTTATGGGTTATGGACCTCTCGCGAGGATGCGAGGTTATAAAGAAGGGGAGTTTGTAACGACCCCATCCCAAATCAGAAGTGCAAGGTTATAAAAAGGGGGAGTTTGTAACGACCCCATCTCGCGGGGATGCGAGGTTATAAAGAAGGGGAGTTTGTAACAACCCAATCCCACATTGGAAGTGCGAGGTTATAAAGAGGGGGAGTTTGTAACAACCCCATTCCACATTAAAAGTTTGCATGGGCAATCTTGGGTACATAGATCCATTGTTTCAGGTTATACTTGGTCCAGTAGGCGGTGGGGCATTACAAAAAGGAAGGGAGAGGTGGGCAAAGTGTAGCTTGTTAGAAAGATCTAGTTACAGCATTATCATAACATTTGAGAAAAGTCTGCATTTAAATTAACAGATGAATGCATCCATTGGATTTCTTAAGCTTACATACCTTCGATAATTTTTCTTCTTCTGAGGTGCACATATGTATAGATTGGATGATGCATGCACCTTGACTGGTAATAGAGTCATTAAGTGATAATCTGCTGATTGACTTCCCAAGAAGGTTTTGCACCACAAGATGGGATGCATAGCTCAAGCTATCATTGAAAACCACAGTGTGGGGACTCACAGAGATTGATTGCCTAATGGATTTAATCATGTCAAGGTAACCATCTTGTAGAATTGTTTCCAGTCCATCAACAACCTGTGAAAGTGCCAAAAACAAACAGATCAGAAAGAGGATAATGCAACTTATATAGCAACTTAGCAATTCAATGAAAAAGAAGGCATTCTATATTTTCAATTGACGAAACAAATATTGCCAACCAAAAAGCTCTTTACTGGGCGTGTGTTCTTACTCAAGGAGCAATCATTCAACAAGGCTTAAAAGATACATTGCAGCAAATGTTTCGGGTTTAAAGCAAACCTCAAAAATATAGCAGCATATCCAAAAAGCTATGGTAGTCAAGCAATATCAGAAAACAACTCCAAAGTGCAATCTACTGCATTTATTGGAACAGCGCCCATTTGTCAGACAAGTGTCACATTTCTAGTGATTGTGGTCAAATGACAGTAAGGGGTGGTTTGGGATGTCATAAATAAGTGCACTTTTTGAGAGAAGATGTTGATTGATGTAACTCAAAAAAGATAAAAAGATGGACTATTTAATCAGTATATGCCAAACAAGGCCTAAATTTATCACCAGAAATGGCTCTATTTCGCTCATAAAAAGGTGAAAACAAGAAGTTTCAAAGAAAATAAAGAACCAAGAAGGCCAACAACTTTAACACAAATCAAAGACCAGCCCACTATTTGTAACACAACACATTATCACGCCACAAAATAAAGTAATTTTTTTTAAAAAGAAGTTAAGATTGCACAAACAAGGGAGAGATTCAACTACTTCTACCAATTAAATAGTCCTTTTCTTATGGAAAAAATAATTAGAACAACCAATAGTACACAAGAGGAGTATCTGTTAGGCAAGCAAAATAATTTAACCCAGATCAAACTTTCACTGCCTTTCAACTTCTTCATTTTGTTATCTATAGAAAATACATACATAATTGTGATTAAAAATTTAAAATAAATGTTAGCTAAATGAGGAGAAGGTATAGGTTAAAACATTACCAGTAATCTGTTAGGCAAGCAAAATAATTGGGCGAATTACACCAACAGTCCCTATAGTTTGGGGCTCGTGTCACTTTAGTCCCTGACTTTTCAATTGTAACACATTTGACCCTGAATTTTGAACATTGTTTCAAATAAAGACAATAGATAACTTCCGTTAGTTTTTGGATGGAAATTTCTCACGTGCAGCACTTGCCAAGGGCAAAGTCGTCGTTTTGTCCTATTTCCCGCCCAAATAAATACCACCCTCTTCTCTGTAATGAATTAGGGGAAGTCTAGCTTGCTTAGAGCAAAAAAAATGGGGCTTTCACCATTAAACAGAAAGTTATAGTAGATTACGGTGGGAACTATTTAAGATAATCACAAAATTACAAGCAAACGTTGGTGTTGAAGATGGGTACCCAAAGAGTTGCGAATGACATCATCTCGCCGCAATACGGTATTTTTTTTTATTTTTTTATTTTTGTTGAAGTTTTGTTATTTTCGTTCATATTTTTGTGATCTGATATTTGCTACATTATTTTGGTTTACTTTTTTAAACTATTTTCTGTTTGGTGCAGTTTAATTTTGTTGATGTTTATTATATTATATATATATAAACACTGACATTGATATTTATATATATGTGTGTGTGTGTGTGTGTGTGTTAATATCCCCATGTGTACTCCATTTGGAAGACAATGTTCTTTCTTTGAATGTGTGTGAGTTTATTGGTTAATGTGTGCAGAAACAGAAGGATCCTTTTTCACCATAAAGTTTCACCATGGTGGGGGTTTTGGACGTGGGGACCATAGGGTCTACTTGGGAGGCCAAGTTTCTTACTTTGACTTTGTAATGTGAACAAAATTAGCATGCTTGACATGGGGGATATGGTTCAGAAAATAGGGTATAATGGGTTTACAACCTACCAATATAAAGTACCTGGAGTGGATCTGAACAATGGGTTGAAGCATATATGGAATAATAGTGATCTACTAAACATGGTCGAATGGGTGAGGGGGACAACTAGAATTATAGAAGTATATCTGGTACATTATCCAGAACTTGATGATGATACATTCCTTGTGTTTGGTAATTCATGTTCTAATTCAGTACAACTGATTGAGGAGATTAATGAACCAGAGATTGATTTGCAACTTGGTTTTCACAATAATAGAGTAGAGGTTGAAGAGGGACATTTTGCAAGGGTAGAAGATGGAGAAGGACATGTTCTCAGGGCAGGGGCAAGGGCCAGAGCAAGGGTTGAAGGACATGCAACAGGGGTAGGAATGGAATGGCCTAGGCAAGTCTTTGAGAAGGAGATGCAAGGAGGTGGAAATGAAGATGTGCTAGAAGGGGATTTGGGTGAGGGTCAAATGCAGAGAGATGGTGGGTACATACACTCTGATAATGAGACCACTGATTTGGAAGATTTTGAGGATAGTGAATATGATGATGGTGAAGAAGATGACCTTTTGTATGAAGCTAACATAGATAAAAATGTAGAGTGGGGTGGATTTCATGAGAGGGGCAAAGGTAATAATGTCGATGATTTTAATGCTACAATAGATGGTTTGAATTGGGATGAAAATGATGTGGAATCAGATGAATTGATCTCACTTGAGGGGTCATCTAATGAAGATGGTGGGCCCAAGAGGGACAAGTTTCCTGAATTTAACAAACACACTAACATGGTTGATCCTCAATTCCAAGTTGGCATGGTTTTTCCATCATCTAAAGTTTTTAAACAAGCTGTCAAAGAACATGCCATAAAGACTGGAAAAGATATAAAGTTCTTGAAAAATGATAAAGATAGGGTTAGGGCAGGTTGTAAACCTCCTTGTCAATGGATGATATATGCATCTAAGATGCATGGCCAAATGAACTTGCAAGTGAAAACCTATGTGCCTACACATAATTGTGGTAGAATGTTCTACAACAAAAATGTGAACTCCACTTGGTTGTCAAAAAAATATATGGAAAGCATTAAGTCCAACCCCACATGGCCAATTCAATCTTTTAAACAGTCTGTTCAAAAAGATCACAATGTTGGTGTTTCAAGAAGTCAATTGTATAGGGCAAAGAGAAAGGCACAACAACTCATAGAAGGAAATTATAAGGAGCAATATGCTAAACTATGGGACTAATGTGAAGAGATTAGAAGAACAAATCCTGAGACAACCATTGTTATTAAGGTGCCAGATGATGCAGATGATGTAGATGATGGAATTGATGAAGATGATGAAGATAGTGAGGAAGAGTCCAGGTTTCAGAGGATATATGTGTGTTTAGGGGCTTGCAAGCAAGGGTTTTTGGCTGGATGCAGGCCATTTATTGGGGTAGATGGCTGTCATCTTAAAGGTCCGTACAAGGGACAAACGCTTACTGCTGTTGGAATTGATGGGAATAACACCACCTTCCCTGTGGCATATGCTGTGGTTGAAGGAGAAACAAAGAGATCATGGAAATGGTTTTTTGAACTATTACAAGAAGATCTTAGAATAGTAAACCACCAAGGATTTACTTTTATGTCTGACAAACAAAAGGTATGTTCAACAATATGTATACCATCTTATGAACTTTCTTTTGTTATGAAGTGTTTGCTCGATTTTCAATTGTGTTAGGTATGCTTATGCAATTTCAGGGTTTGATTCCAGCACTAGCAGAGGTCATTCCAAATGCCGAGCATAGATTCTGTGTAAGACACATGTACAACAACTTTCAGGATAATCACAAGGGTGTTCTTCTTAAAGATTTGCTATGGAGTGCAGCCAAAGCTTCTTGTGTTCAACAGTTTGAATTTCATATGCAAGAAGTTAAAGAGGTTGATGAAGATGCATTTAAGTGGTTAGCTGAGAAACCAGCTAGCTTTTGGTCTAGATCTCACTTCATCACTCACAGTAAGTGTCACATGTTGCTTAATAACAATTGTGAAAGTTTTAATTCTAGAATTTTGGATGCAAGATCTAAGACAATATTACCTATGTTGGAGGACATAAGGTGTATTCTAATGAGTAGAATGCAAAGGAGGAGGGAAGTCATGAGGGCATATCAAGGGCCTTTGTGCCCCAACATACAAAAAAAACTTGAGAAAAAGAAGGTGGAGTCTAGTAGTTGCATTGCTATGTGGTCTGGGGCTTCTACATACCAAATAAATTGTTTCAATGGACAACAATTTGTGGTTGATCTAGAAGCTCATACTTGCTCTTGTAGGAAGTGGGATTTAAGTGGTATTCCTTGTCCTCATAGTATTTCAGCCATTTACTTCAAGCATGAAAATCCCGAAGACTATGTAACACATTGGTACAGAAGGGAGACCTATATGGCTACTTATGAGCCCATTGTATACCCTATTAATGGTCCTGAAATGTGGCCAAAAATAGGCCTACCTCCACTTTTGCCTCCAAAAGTTAAGAAGCAGCCTGGAAGACCTAAGAAATTAAGAAGGGGAAAAAATGAACCCCAAAATCCACAAAAGTTGAAGAGAAAGCACACCACAACCACTTGTAGCACCTGTGGGAAGCTTGGACACAACAGAAGGAGCTGCAAAGGACAACCTATGGTTGGCAAAAGTAGGATGGAAACAATGCATTAAGTTCAAACTTTATTTTCTCTTCCATTTTTGTTTTGTTTTGTTTTTTAAATATAAGTTTTGATAGTAATAAAGAATTTGCAGGCTAGTATGAACACTGACAGCAACACTGCTGATGCAAACAAATCAAGGCCAATAGTGTTGAAGCGAAGTTCTCAACCCATGGAATCCCAACCAAGATCAACTTTTGCTGCTGGGAAGAGGAAAAAAACTTTTGCTTCTGGTAAGAGGAAAAGAACTGTTGGTGGATAGGGTGATTGGAAACATCAATGATCACTAATATCTTTTTGAATGCTTTTGGGTTGTAAGGGATGTTTACAGTTGTTTTTGGATTTTAACGTATGTGTTTGGAGGATGACTCTGTAATGGTAGTTATTTTTGTTGATATTTTGGGATGACTATTATGTAATGAATGCTTATTAGGTTGTGTAATAGATATATTTAATATACGAAATATTTTTAGTTTTGAATCTTTTGATTTAATGGATTGGTTTAATATTGATATCAAAATTTTGGTCATGTTTAGCTTGGGTTTCTGAGATTATTTTTAGATTTTTTTTATAAAAAAAATATTTAAATTAATTTAATATTATTTTTTGGCTTGAGTTTTTGAGATTATTTTTTTTCTTTTTAAAAAAAAAAGAATTTTGAAAATTAAACATTAATTTGATAAAAATAAATATAAAAAACTATTTTATGATTCTAAAAAATATTTTTACTCTTCAAAAATAATTATATAAAAATAATAAGTGCTTGAGTTTCTGAAATTATTATTATTGGCAAAACGACGACTTTGCCCTTGGCAAGTGTTGCACATGAGGAATTTCCATCCAAAAAACTAACGGAAGTTATCTATTGTCCTTGTTTGGAACAATGTTCAAAATTCAGGGTCAAATGTGTAACAATTGAAAAGTCGGGGACTAAAGTGACACAAACCCCAAACTATAGGGATTATTGGTGTAATTCGCCCAAATAATTTAACCCAGATCAAACTTTCACTGCCTTTCAACTTCTTCATTTTGTTATCTATAGAAAATACACACATAATTGTGATTAAAAATTTAAAATAAATGTTAGCTAAATGAGAAGGTATAGGTTAAAACATTACCAGTAAGGAAACACCAGATATATCAATGGCCTTCAAAGAAAGAAGCTCCAGAAGTCTCTCAGGTGTAGACACAAGGAACTCGGGCTCACAACTCTTTAGACTGTGGGAGAAAATGCAATTTTGTAAGAGAGAATATAAGAGAGATGAAGAAAAAACTCTCTCCAAATTCCTTAAATAGACACTACATAGCATGTAATGCCAAATGCACAGACTAAACATGAGATATACAAATGCCTTGAAGGAAAACTAGAAATGTGAAGACATACGCACAAAAATTGACAAGATATTCCACTGTTTCATCCCTATAATATGAGGAAGCTTTGGACAAGCAAGTCAAGCCTATTTGTCCGCTAGGAGCAAGCAAGAAAAAGAAGAAGAAATAAATAAAAATTGTCGCATGCCCCAGCATTCCGCCTAATTGATGCTTGTTAAGATATTTTGAGCCAAGATCACTCCTTTGAATAATAAAATGAACACAGACTTTAATTCATAAAATGGTTCTGATTCTGCTACAATTACACCCTGAATAATGTGCAATTCTCCACCCAAGCTGATATTTGCCACAGAAGGCCGTTAAACTAAGAGCCAATTGCAGTGAAGTACGGTCACAGACCACCAAATGATGTAATGCACAGGCAAGCTTGTTTATCTGTCCACATTACGCACCTCATTTCCATAACAAAAATCTCACCATATGATTGTGTGCGTATGCATGACGACTATCAATCAAGACTACCACTATGACCTTTGCTGCAATTGTAAACGAGAAGCACAGATATGGACACGAGAGAGAGGGAGAGAGAGAGATCAATGAAAAGGGTAAAAAAGATTCACTACTTACCCATGAATTTGGTGATCTATGGAGGCACCAGGATGTAGACTCACTGTGTGTATTCCAAGAGCCTTCAACGGTTTGCACGCTGAGCGCACCTAAGCACAATGAAAAAGCATCTGTCAGCAGACCATATTTATCATTCAACAGGGCCCAGTAAGTCAGTATAACCCCAAGGTGATTGGTTAGAACTCAGCCAGCCAATTCACCTTCATGCACAAAATTTCCCAAAGAAGGGTATGTGATGTTCCAAGAATTTTGAACTTTGCCTCCTGGCTTTAATTACATTAGAAAAGACTAATTTGCATTCATTTTTTGTTTAATTAAAAAGAAAGGTTAGAGAGAGAGAGAGAGAGAGAGGGAGGGAGGGATGCCCCTCTTTTCACATCACACAAAAGTCGCAAAAGAGCAAGCATGATAACGCAAAATCCTTTTGTTAGTTTCTAGGAAGCACGGATACAAATACGAAATATGGATACAGATACGAGATACGGATACGATACAGATATGGCGAACGACAAAACTTAAAAAAATAGGATAGGGGTACAGCTAGGATACGTTTGTAAAAATATATATATTTTTTAAATTAGTAGCAGTGAGTTACCCATAAGCTAAAGAATGTTGAGGAACCACACTATAATTTTATAATATAAAATACTAACTTTTAAGAATTAGGTATTATAAATTCACTATGTTCTTTTCATCAAAGAACTAAACAAAGTATTAGAAATAATTCTTGTATTTATCCTTACAATTATATTATATTATAATGTTATGCAAGAAATGTTATACTTCTAATTTCGTAAACGAGGTAATACTTGACTCGGAGTATTTCAAAATTAAGTAACCGATACTCAAAAATTAATGGAAAAATTAATTAAGACGTATCTGATACTTCTAATAAGTATCTGATACATATCCGCGAGTATCCAATGAGTATCAGTATCCGATACAGATACAATACGGATACGTCACCCTTTTTGAAGTGTCTGTGCTTCTTAGGTTAGTTTTCTGGCAACTGCATCAGTCCTTACATCTATTCATGCTTAAGTGATCATAGCTTGAAAAAATTTCGGCAAAGATGATGAAGAATGATAAGAAAGGATCTGCAAACCTTAATGGCTTTCTCTTGGGATGGTACAAGAAATAAAAGAAAGGGACTTGTCAGCAATAGACCTTCTTTCTCCTTTCTTACAATGGTATCAGCAGCAGTTGAAGCCATCCAAGCAATTTGTTCTATGGTAGAACAAGCACCACTTGTCTCCAATATGTCTTTTCCAACTGAATAGCTTTTCCAAAACTCAATTCCCCATGTGTCAACAAACAAAGGCTTGTCCTCTTCAGTATTGAAGAATCCATCTTGTTCTAATGCAGTCTGGATCGAATTCAAGCACAGAATAAGAAACTTTGATGGACAACCCGAGTATTCAAAGGCATGTCCATGTTGAGCACAGGCAGCTCCAGTCTCTCCAATCAGCTGAATCTTTGTTTTTCCAAGATTGACAACATTTTTCTGCCCCACATTATCAATAGATGCAAGTGATAGTGTCTGTGCATTTCCCAAGTTCTTCACCTTCACCATTTCCTTTTCTTGATGATCTGCAATTGCATGATTCCCACGAGTTCTTTTCCTTGATGCAACACTGTTCCCATTAATAGCCACTCCACGATCGACTTTTGAAGGCACAAGTTTCTTTGTTTCCTTTTTTTTTAAATCCACTGTCCCACATCTTTCATTGAAGGGATCCTCAAGAGTAGGAAGGCTAAAACACATTCCCTGCAGAGTCATAATAGATTGAAACATGTTAAGATATATATGTAAACATCATGCAGTTTGCATCAAAACAATAACCTCAAACAGATAGTCAAGAGGATGTGCTATCAAATACCGGTACCAGAAAAGCACATATATTAACAGTTTCTGGGCAGAGAATAAATGACAAGCAACTGTAATTCTATTCTTATGACCAAAACTAATGTTATGATCACCATTTGATTTACTAAACTTGCAGTGTCTTCTAGCTAGATTATAATAGAGATTGCAAATATAAAAAACAATGCACATAGAAATTTAGTTGTTGGTGTAAGTAACAGCTATTAAACCACAAACAACCAATAGCTAGCAGTTTTTCACTCATTGTTGCAATAAATGGGACACATTCACAATCAATAAATACATGTTTCCAAGTTGAACAACTACCACCCCTAAGAGGATAGGGCAACTATTCTTGTCGCTCAATCACCAATCAGTTACATTGCTAAATTAGTAACTTCAATGATAATCCCCTGAAGATCAACATTCAATTTGAGAGGGAGATTTATGACGTAACAATGGGCCGAGCCAGTTTGGGCCGAGGTCGAGAACATCGCTCGGCCACACGTTGGTGCGCGCTGGGCCGAGGAGTTAGACCGGTCCAGTTGGTGCCAACTTTGAGCTACTAGCCTGGTAGGGATGTGCGTTCTGCTGAGTTGGATGGAATTTGTCATCAGAAGATCGAATTCGGCCAAGTAGAAACTCGGTCGTGGCCTTGGAGCTCGGTTGAGCCCACGATCAGGTCTGAACGGCGAGGCCGGATATGTAGCACAGTCCCAAGGGAATTTCATGGAGCTACATTGGGCATAGCTCGGTAGGAGGTGCTACGTGGTGTGCTGGAGCTACGGAAAGAAGATTCTGCCGTCCGTACGCGTCAATACTGTTTGGCGGTTTTACCATTTGATGTTTGGCGGTATTTGCACCTATACGTGGAGGAACATGAGAGGGGAACATGTCCACACGTCAGAAGGAGGACAAACAAAGAGGAGAGCGCAAAAACTATATAAACGATGCTGAGCCTTCATACACAGGTCTGGAACATCTGGTTATCAGAGCTACCTGCCCCTTTGCCTCCTTTCTCTTTTTCTCCTTCTCCTTCTCTCTGAGTGTGCTAACTTGACCACCGGAGGGTTTTTTCGACAGCACACCGCCAGGTAGCTCACCTTCTTTGTGTTCTCAAGTCATTTGAAAGGAAGCGCAACTTGGACACGAAGCGTACGGAAAACGACGAATATTTGCTTCCCGTACAATTGGCGCCGTCTGTGGGAATCCGACAGACAAACCTTGTCCTCCAAGTTTTTCCGGTCATCTTTTATGGTGAACAACGACAACATTCCGTTGTCCGCCATCGACGACATCACGCTAGAGTCAGTCCAGAGGAGAGATGGCCCACCTGCCGTTCCGGCCATGGCGGGCTTGAAGACTTCCTCCAGAGGGATCCCCAGAGATGCGTGAGATAAGCGTGCAAGAAGCACAGACCACTCCCAGAGCCCAGACAGCCATTAGCGGCGAAGGGAGTCACATTCTCAACGCCTAGAGAATAAGCTGAGAGACCAAGATGCCATCATTCGGAGGATAGCGACAGAGATGGAGGTGCTAAAACGGCAAGTTAAAGGGAAGGGTGTCGCTGAAGTAGGTAACCACAGTGAGCGCACCCTATCCCGCCGATCAAGCAGCCAAGGCCAACGGAGGACGCCTTCCCTTTCCATTACCAGAAGCTATGGGGTTGGTGACTCCGACCCGCCAGCGGAGAAGTCTTGCACGCGAGACAGCAGTTACCATCCCTCACGTCCGTCGACAAAGTCAAGATACTCCTACTTCGCCCGTTCGGAAGACTTGAGGGACATCTTGGAAGAACGAGCGCGCCGGTGGGAGGCACAACAGGTGCCAGCATTACAACGGCTGTCCTACGGAGGTCGTACAAGTGAAGAAGTTGTAATGCCGCCACCACGCCCAACTGTACATGTCCCTTTAGATAGAGGCTTGGCGAGGCTGAGCGCCACCCCTTTCTCCCTCGAGATAGAAACCACACCACTCCCTGCGGACTTTCACCAGCCCAAGTTTATGCTTTACGACGAAAAAATTGATCCTTACATGCACGTAAGCCATTTCCGGCAAATCATGGCTGGCTACAAGCGAAATGACGCCCTTATGTGCCTTATTTTCGCATCAAGTTTGGGTGAGTTGGGCCTAAAATGGTTCGAGGGGCTGCCAGAAGAAAGTATCGAGATGTGGCAGCAGCTAGCAGAAGTGTTTGTGACCCGATTCAAAACCAAACACCAAAACGCCCAAAGAAGTCGACCACCTACTGGGCATCAATATGGAACCGGGCGACTCACTCAAGGCGTACAATGCCAAGTACTGGGAAACCTTCAACAAAATTCTTGATTGCCCGACCAACCTGGCAATCACCTAATGCAAGCGCGGTCTCCCGATTGGACATAAACTGCGGGGCTCGCTTAACATGAGTCAACCGGCTACCATGGAGTTGTTAATGCAATGCATCAACGAGCACATCCAAGTTGAGGATGATGCGACCGCGGCTACCACGAAGGCGAATCCGGTAACGGCAGACAAGAGGGTGGCCAAAAAGGTTCACGCGGTCGGACAGGAGGCATACCGTCCAAACAACCACGAAAGAGAATCAAACCGTGGTGCTGACCGCAACAATCGGGGTAAGGGTCGACGCAACAACCAAGCTGACTACCCTCGTGATGCCGCAACAATCGGGGTAAGAGTCGACGCAACAATCAATCCCGACCAAGAAATCACTTCTTTCACGATCTCGAGAGGATTGTTCTGTTATAGGGTTATGCCCTTCGAATTAAAGAATGCCAACACAACCTTTTAGAGAATGGTCACACAGATGCTAACTTCTTTGCTCGGCTGGACGATGGAAGCCTATATCAATGACATAGTCATAAAGAGCAAATGTGAGACCAACCATTTAGCTGACTTGGCAGAGATGTTCGCCATTCTCAAGCAACACAAACTGCGTCTGAACACATCCAAATGTGCCTTCAGTGTGGGGTCAGAGAAGTTCTTGGGCTTTTTAGGTACTAATCGTGAGATTGAGGCAGATCCCTCTCAAATCAAAGCCATACAAGAATTGCAGCAACCTGACTCAGCAAAGGACGTGCAACATCTTGCTGGGATGGCAGCCGCGCTTAACCGATTTATAAGCTGGTCGTTAGATCGTTGCCACCCTTTCTTCCGAGCCTTAAAGTCAAAGTTTTCATGGGACGAAGAGTGTGATAGGGCATTGGCTGAGCTAAAAACGTATATATCTTCTGCTCCACTCCTGGTCACGCCGAAGCAAGGCGAGGAACTCTATCTTTATTTGGCCGTTTCTCAACATGTTGTCAATGCAATGCTTGTTCAGGCAGAAGGCATACAACACCTACCGATCTTCTACGTATGCAAAACCTTACTCCCCGCGGAGTCAATATACTTGCCACTTGAGAAACTGGCCTTGGCGTTGATAATGGCCTCCGGAAAGTTGGCCCATTACTTCCATGCGTATACAATCGTAGTGCTGACCAAGTTTCCGTTGAAAGCTTTGTTTGAGCGGGCTGACTTCTCCAGTCGAATCTTGAAGTGGGCAGTCAAGTTGGGACAATTCGACATCAAGTTTCAATCTAGAACCGCCATCAAGGCCCAGGCACTGGCCGACTTCGTTACAGAATTCTCACCCGGGACTCACCCGGTTTGCCCAGTGGACCTTACCAACACAACCGGGTTGAAAGGGGTAGGCATTGTGAAAATTGCACAGCCAACTCCCACTCTGGTCCATATCAACCCTTCTAACGAACCAAATATGGAAGGCGACGCGGAAATTACGCGCCCGAGCAGCATCCCGTCATTTGAAAAACAACCACGTCTTGGCAATGCGCTGATGGATTTGGGAATAACAGGACAACCTGTTGGATCCAACACCGCATCGCCAGAGGGAACGAGGGCATGTAAGTCATAATCATCACCGGCGCACTTGACACGAAAATAGCCGAGCAACTAAGCAACTCAAAACACTTAAACCTCCAAAAGTCCCAAGACCCCGTAGAATGTTGGAAGCTTTTTATCGGCGAAATGTGGAAACTTTTTGTCAATGGCGCTTCAAACAGACATGGAGCCGGGCTAGGCGTAGTTTTGATCTCACCAGTCGGACTAACCATTGCACATTCCATCACGCTTGGGTTTCCAGCATCAAATAATGAGGCTAAGTACGAAGCGTTGCTAGCCGGACTGAAAAGCGCGCTTCAATTGCAAGCATGCAAGCTAAATGGTCTACAACGACTCCCAACTCGTTGTAAACCAAATGTCTGGAGAATATGAAGCCAAAGATGACAGAATGGCCAAATACCAAACTCTGGTAAGAGAGCAGATCAAAAAGTTTCAAGCCATACGAGTTCAACAAATCGGCCGAGAAGATAATAGCTGGGCAGACGAGTTGGCTGGTCTGGCTTCCATAGCCGACAAATCAACCCCCAGCCCTCTCCTGGTTGAATTCCTTCCTAGACCCAGTATAGAAGAACCAGAGAAGATTGAAGCCCTCAGCGCCAAGCTAGGCCCTTCCTGGATGGACCCCATCGTTCTTTTCCTGAAAGAAAGAATCTTGCTGACCGACAAAAAAGAGGCACACAAAGTTCGGGTGAAGTCTGAGTGGTTTTGGCTCTCTCCGTCTAGTACTTTGTATAAAAAGTCTTTCACAGGACCCCACTTAAAATGCGTCCATCCAAACAAAATTGAAGCCTTTCTATTTGAAATCCACGAAGGAATGTGCGGAAGCCATATTAGGCGAAGATCTCTGGCCTACCGCACTATCTCACAAGGATACTAATGGTCGTGCATGCAGGCGGATGCACAGAAGTATGTGAGAAAGTATGAAAAGTGCCAAAAGTTCGCCCATCAAATTCACTAGCCGGCCAAAGAACTTCTTCCTCTCACAAATCCTTGGCCGTTCGCAA